CAGTTACTTGGGAGGCTGAGGCAAAAGAATCGCTTGACCCTGGGAGACAGAGGTTGCAGTGAGCGGAGATCATGCCATTGCACTCCAGCATGGACAACAAGAGCAAAACTCCATCTCAAAAAAAAAGAAAAAAGAAAGAAAGAAAGAAGCTAATAAAAGAACAAATTAAACCCAAAGTAAAAAGAAAGAAGAAAATAATAATGGTAAGAGCAGAAATGAATGAATTAGAAAACAGAAAAACAATTGAGAAAATCAATGAAACCAGAAGCTGGTTATTTGAAAAAAATCAGTAACATTTATAAAGCTGATTAAGACAAAAAAAGAGAGATGATACAAGTTACCAATAACAGGAATGGAAGAAGGGATGTTACCACAGACTCCACAGACATTAAGAGGATTATTAGGGAATATTATGAATGACTTTATTCCAATAAATTCAGCAAGTCGGATGAGAAGGACAAATTCCTTGAATATGATGAATATGTTACAATTCTGATAGGTACAGTATTGTAATGGTTAATCCTTACAAAGCCTGGTTCAGAGAAGCTTGGGTTCAAATCCCCTCTCTGCTACCTCCTAGTTGTGTGACCATAGGCCTGTCTCTTATACACATCTAGATGTGTATAAGAGACAGATATAGCACAGATCTTTGTGGCTCAGTTTCTTTTTCTTTCTTTTTTCTTTCTTTCATTTTTTTTCCCTTTCTTTTTTATTTATTTTGTGTGTGTGTGTGTGTGTCACTCAGGCTGGAGTACAGTGGCATGATCTCCGTTCACCACAACCTCTGCCTCCCAGGTTCAAGTGATTCTCCTGCCTTAGCCTTCCAAGTAGCTGGGATTACAGGTGCATGCCACCCTACCTGGCTAATTTTTGTATTTTTGGTAGAGACGGGGTTTCACCATGTTGGCCAGACTGGTCTCAAACTCCTTACTTCAGGTGAGCCACCTGCCTCAGTCTCCCAAAGTGCTGGGATTACAGGCGTGAGCCACCACTCCCAGCTGCAAGCTTCTTCTTTCTGTTTTCCTCTTCCTGACAGCAGGCTTTTTCTCGATGTAAGGAAGGACACTTTCTCATCTCTACAATCTTCTCTGCTCTTTCCCCCACCCCATTCCTGTCTTCCCTTTGAGCACTAAAACATAAAGTATGACACTTGCCTCCTTTGCTTTAGAACTTATACTTCTATTAAGGGATCGAGAGCCCAAAGTCTTTTTTGGTTAACTCAACAAATTGATAATTCAGGTGAAAAGGATCTTGCACACCGAAAGTGCTCATCAACAATTAATTTTTGGGCCAGGCATGGTGGTGCATGCCTGTAGTCCCAGCTAGTCAGGAGTCTGAGGCAGGAGGATAGCTTGAACCCAGGAGGTCGAGGCTGCAGTGAGCTATAATCATGCCATTGCACTCCAGTCTGGGCCACAGAGTGAGACTCTGTCTCTTTAAAAAATAAAATAAAATAAAAAATAAAAAAATTGGCCAGGCACGGCGGCTCATGCTTGTAATCCCAGCACTCTGGAAGGCCGAGGTGGGTGAATCACAAGGTCAGGAGTTCAAGACCAGCCTGACCAACATGGTGAAACCCCATTTCTACTAAAAAAGTTAGCCGGGTGTGGTGGCGGGCGCCTGTAGTCCCAGCTACTTGGGAGGCTGAGGCAGGAGAATTGCTTGAACCTGGGCAATGGAGGTTGCAGTGAGCCGAGATTGCGCCACTGCACTCCAACCTGGGTGACAGAGCAAGACTCTGTCTCGGGGAAAAAAAAATTATCTGGGCGCAGTGGCTCAGGCCTGTAATCCCAGCACTTTGGGAGGCTGAGGCAGGCGGATGGAGTCTTGCTCTGTCAACCAGGTTGGAGTACAGTGGTACAATCTCAGCTCACCGACTTAGTGTTAAGTTGAAATCTCGATATCCACTCCCCAGGTCTGGACCAGCCTTCCGGAGAACCTGAAGACCAGCTGCCCACAGAGCCGCCTGCAGGCAAGTCCTCTGTCCCCTGATCCCTCCCTTCTCCCCAAAGGATGGGACCTCCTTGTCTTTGACCCTACCTGCTCTGCTCGTAGTCACAGCTGCTTAACAACTTAGTTCTGGCCGAGCTCAGTGGCTCATGCCTTTGGGAGGTCAAGGCATGTGGTCACTTGAGCCCAGGAGTTGAGACCAGCCTGGGCAACATGGTGAGACTCCATCTTTGCAAAAATAAAAAATAGATGGCTGTGGTGGCATGTGCCTGTAGTCTCGACTACTCAGAAGGCTGAGGTGGGAGGATTATGTAAGCTCAGGAGTTGGAGGACTCAGTGAGCTATGACTGAGCCACTGCACTTCAGCCTTGGGAACAGAGGGAGACCCTATCTCAAAAAAAAAAAAAAGACTTAGTTCTCTCCCTGCAGACTTGCAGAC